CTACAACTTTATAGTTAATTTATTTTTTACTTGAAGTCATTTAGAGTCCCAAATATGTATTTTAAGTTCATAGAATTTGTAATTCAAAATTTAGAATTTTAAACAACCTTGAATGTTCACATAGTTAACAACAAAGTTATAGTGGCCGACCTAGTCTACATTTTTTATGTTAATAAGTTTTTGATTTGAAGCTATTTAGTGTGTTAAATATTTGTTTTAAATTCACATATTTTGATATTCATTTTTTTTTCAAACAATCTTGAATGGAGACACATCCTATATCACAGTTGCATGGACAAGATTTAAAACTTTGTATTGAAATTTTTGATTCAAGTTCATTTAATAGCCAAATTATTCAACACACTATTCCAAAATATTTATTTAAAATACATAATTCTATATATATACTCACGACTGTCTAGTACACTTGGAGGGAGGTGTTACTGCTTAGCAGTAGGTTGCGAGTTTTAGTGCGGAGAACAATCCAATATTTTGGTGTTTTTACTGACACCTAAATTTTTCTTTATAGACGGCATTGAGTATCTAACCATGGCTTCCCTAAACCCCAAAATTAGTGCCATGACAGTATAATTACCCCGATTGATTTCCTTAAACAGTCACGAGCTCGAGGGCTACACAAAGCATGTGCGCTCATGCGCCCACACACTATACCACAGCCCATCTTTAGCATCGCATGTGAGTCGTTAAAAGTACCAATTAGGATCAGAAGGTCGGACGTTAAAGATTTATATTTTGTTTTAGTAATAGACTGTTGATCGTTAATTCTATCTTGCTGAGTATGTTGTTATATGCTAGTTTTAACGACCAACTAACCGTTGCTACGAATGGGCTGGACTTGAGCACCAATCTCCCGAGCTGGATTACATTTGGCCCAGCCTGCTAACTCCCCATGCGCCCCACAGTGGCCTGGTCTGCTATGTTGCCAGATGTCACGTGGCCATCCGATCGGATCAAATGGTCCACGCCATCCCTCGGCCGCTCAAAGCTGGTAACAGCCGGCCTCCTCCAAACCCTACAATTTAGTTTCTCCCACACACGCAAGCGGCGGCGGCAGCGACCGAGCGCTCGCGTGCACAGGCACGGTGGCGGCGGCGGGGACGCGCCCGTGCCCGTGTGCCCGCGGCCGGGCCGGAGCCGACAGCACGCCGGAGAAGACAGGCGCCGCAATGCCAAGCAGGGGCTCTCCGCCATCCACGACATCTCCGTGACTCATGGCCACAATGTCTCCTTTTCCGTCTCGCATTTCCATTGAATCGGTAGCTCCTGTCTCCAGGCCATTGCGTTGAATCCGTTGCCATTGCTTCACTCATGTGTACAGATCTGAGAAAGTTTTTATCCTCAGTGGGCAGTGTGTAGTAAGAAGCAGCAGAAGTGGAGGAAAGGCAAGCAGTGGAAGCAGGCACACACTAAGCATCAGAATACGAGTTCGTGAGAATTGACCAATCCCTGCAACAAGATAGAAGAGAGAAGGTAATTTATTTTTTATTCTTTTCTCCCCTTCTGCTAGGATGCAGCAGCCATTGGGGCAAAACATGAGTTGTGAGCTGTAGAAGCCAACATCTTAGTTGTGTAGGTACTTGAGTGAGCTAGCTTGGTTATTGCCTTAGTATTTCGTGTGAAAAAATTGTACAAGTACAAATGCTTATGGTTCTAATGAAAATGATGAGCTATATATGTTTTGTCAATTGTGAGCTTTGTTCCAGTTTATGTGTTTCATGAGTGTGGCTGTCTTAATGTCTGACATTGTTAATGTTAATTGCATGGTTAATGTATAAATAAATGATATTATATGGTTAAATTTTTTGTATGTCTAGCTTTAGGTGGTTGGTCGCTATATATATCTCAACAGATAGTGTGTTGCTATAAGTTTATAATAGGCGTCAAATAGTCGGTCGCTATATGTACAACACAACGTCGGACGGTCGGTCATTAAAAGTTGGTCGGTCATTAAAGATTCATAAAGACACCGGTATCAATGACAGATACAAGGGTCGTTAAAAAGATATAACGACCGACCGTATGTTGCTAAAACGGTTTTTAACGACCCACCGGGCGATGCTAAAGATAGGTTGTGGTATAGTGACACAGATAACAAAAATTGCCCATCAGACCTACGACGATCGGCTTCCTAAATGGCGAGAGGTCTTTAATTTAGTAGATACCGTGAGACAGGCCCTGCAGCCATGACTTCAAGCCCGGGGGGCGTTCCCGGCATTGGGTGGCCGTGACTGACCAAGGAAGGCCGGATATGAGAGCCCCCATGGGCCTACTTTACATGCATGATACCTAATTCATAGTGATGTCCTAGCTAGGAAGTAACAGCATGATGCTCATGCCTTTGGGTTTCAGCTAATGAACACGAAATCCATGATGTCCATTGACATGAGGACAGGTTCTTCTTTAACCTTCATTCAAGGTTGGCAACAAGCCACATCGCACAAGATAAGTAATCCATTTCTCACACACTGAAGGACCGAAAACGACGATCAGACGGGAGTTGTGTGTGTGTGTGTGTGGGGGGGGGGGGGGGGGTTGAATAGGAGCCTCAAATTTCTTTCGAAATATTCAGCCGCTGTCCCAAAATCACATCCAAAAGAAAAACACAATAACAGTGATGCCCTCGATCCAACTTGTGGGTGGATATTCCCTAGAAATACAATGGGATACCACAACAAGCACGAACCACTTCTGAACGGAAGGACAGAAAATGAGATACTCAAAGGAACCACTTAAGCAAAACATCATCATGCTAGACTTATGCTGGGACCATACAGTGACAGATCCATGCAAATGCTTTTCAAAACCATGCGATGTTTCATGTAGTTCCATGCACCATGCTACAAGAGACTCGATACGTAAATCACACATACATGAACATTGCGTTAAAGGAATAGCCAAACAATTTCAATGTCTTGAATTTAAACTCTGATCCCAGTGATATGTATACCATTATAATAAGAAGAAACAAAGGGAAACATAATACTGCTCATTTCTTTCAAGTCTTTCCTCTTTATTTTTCTGCTCTGTGAAAAATGACCAGACAGTGTGGGCGGACATGCATGGGCCCTGGGCTGGGTGCTGCAGCTTGGGCCGAGGCCCAAAATTTGTTGGAGTAGGTCTTCAGCAGCCCACGACCCCAATGCCAGCCCAAGGAAGAGGCCGTACCTCACGGCCTGCCCAACACAGAGACAGCCCAAGACATCCATACTCCTGCTCCTGCCTGGCCAGCAGCTCGCCGATTCTCTTCCCGTTCCCGGCGACGGCGTCACAGCGAGGCTGCCCGGGCGCTCAAGATCCACAGCTCCGTGCCACTGCCTCCGCCTCCAGCCCTCCACGCTCCAACCGGCCACGCTTTCGTTGGCAGCCCCTTCTGCAGACTGCAGCCTTACTTACCCGGGCGGCGCCCGGCCGCAGGTGTCAGGTCGCCCTTCAGCAGCAGGCGCTCCCCGAGGCGGGCAGGCAGAGTGACATGGTCCGCGCTCCAGATTTCAGAAGTCGAGAGGGAGGGAAGTGGCACCACTCACCAGCGCACGGCACCGCCCCTGCTCTGCTGTGCTCTGCTGCAGGCTGCTCACGGTTAGATCTGAGAATACTGAACAATATATGGGATTAGGGTCTAGTTGTTGATTTCAATTTTCGAATGTCTGTTGACTAGTTCCTAATACTCACATTCCAGTTTGCAATATTTCATTCATATGTCGTAGACATAGAAACCTAGGAAGGATCGAAAGATATTTTAGTAAGAATGATGCATCGAAGAGTAGTGGTGGAACTAAAGAGAACCGGGTTCAGAATAAAAAAAAACACGGCTTGATCTTAATATGTATTTGTTGAAGATGAAAAAAAATAAAAATCTAAAGCACTCTCAAATCTTAAAAACCCATATGTTATGTTTGCCCCGCGATAAGCTATAGATGTTGGGTATTGTATTTGTTTATTTCAGTTCATAATGTTATATTGTTTTTTCAACAACTTTGACATATTTAAAATTTTAATGTAGAATTAAACACGACCATCAAGATGGTGTGAAATTTTGAAGACATGTATGATCTTTTGATTACGGGATGGTCTCTATTTGTACATACTGCTTGAGAATTTTGAGTTGATATCATCATTTCTGTTTTTTGTTATATCTATTAGTACGCCACTAGTACGGGTTCTAGCCCTCTATTATTTAGACCCCTCTTGCTTGGTTTCTGGGTCCACCACACTCCCAGACACCATCCAATGCGCACCAGAGATGTATGAAACATCCGGTCCTGTCACTTGGCCCATTCGGTGAGATGATGATAAACGTGCAGCGCACAAAAGGAGCTCAATTAACAAGCCAAATATCACACTTATTATATGGATGGAGCCTCGGCGCGGCGACTCGGCGCATGCGGCTAGCTCCGAGTCTCGGGATGGAGGCGGCTCGGCTTTTATGGGGGCGGAGAGACGTGGAGTGCACGGCAAGGCGGACGGCGTCGCAGTGGCGGAGTCTCAGCGGCGGTGGTGGAGTCCGCATCGGGTATGAGCGAGAGGTAGGTGACGACGCTGACCTGTGGGTCCTGGGTGTTAGCGGGTGAGAGAACGGGGCCGGCTGTCAGTGACGGCACGCGCAGAGAGAGGCGGGGACGCGGCCTGCGTAGCGTGGAATGGGGGCATATCGGCGCCGACCAAGACGCGAGAGAGAGGCGGGGGCTGCAGCAACTGCCTTGTGCCTTCGGTAGGCTTGCCGGGCCGGCCCATGAGCGGAGGCGCGGGGGAGAAGGGCGCGGGCGACGCGGTGCTGGGCTGTCTGCTGGAATGGGCCACGGGAGATGGAGAGCGGAGCAGGCCGCCTGGGCCGAGGGGAGAAGCAAATTCAAGAGGTGTGTGTCATTATCATTGATAACTACACCGAGCTTCCTCAGCTGCCATAACTTCCTAATGTCCTTCAACTCATTTCCATGTGACGAAGCCATGACATTAGACAACACCTCCAGTTTTCCATTTTCTCAATCTTGAATGGGATATCTTGACACATGAGCATACCGACTTCGCTTCCTATTGATTATGCACAAGCCATTACCGCTTGCACTTGAATCGTTGTCACCAAAGAAGCAAAGCGCCTTAGCTTCTTGGAGCGGGACATGCCTTGTTTCCTTTGGAGGCACACTGGTTTGCCGGATGTCCAATATTTCTAGGTCATGGAGGTTGTTGATTTCTCCGGGTAGATGTGTAATATTTGTTTCCCTTAGGCTTAGATACTTGAGAAATGGAATGTTGTTGCATATGGCCTTGAGGTAGTAGTTTTTGTCGTCAAAACATAGACAACCTTGCGAGATCTAGCAATTTGAGTAGTGATAGTGAGGTGAATATGAAACTCCTTGACAAACTTTTCTATGGTATCGAGGCGCTGAGTCGAGACCATCAAGATGGAGAAGTGCCTAGCCAAGGGATGTGACAGTGGATCCAAAATGTGTTGTCATGTTAGCCATTTTGGTTATAAATCCATGGACAAGATGGCCAACCATGCAGCTCTTGAACTCTCCTTTAGCACTAATATCCCTGGGACAAACAAGACACCGGGTCGATGAGAGCATCGAAACATTGCTTAGCATGGCGAATCGCAATGGACCGATCTTCCTTTCTTATGAGCCGCTCAGTAAGCCATCGTCCTATTAAGGTTGACCGCTTTGATGTTTGTTAGCTAATCTCATCACCTTGTGTGAACACAATGCCGAGGAAGGCGGCGCCGACTTAGCACTAACGTGTGTGTGAACACAAAGAAGGGAAGGCGGCGCCGACTTTGCCCCCTTTGTGATACAAGAGTCAGCCAGCAGTGCAGTGCGCGCCAGACGGCTCACCTGCAAAGATCAGAGGAAGAGCGCGATGGCAGCAGAGTCGACTACATCGGTTATCTAGTTATCTTGTACAAAGATGGGCGCCGCACATGGACTAGATAGTTAGAGTTGTATAAATAGACATGTATGACAACTCAGTAAAGAGAGCTCAGATTTGCCATCACATAGACAGGGCCTCGGCCAACGCTGTTGTCTTGTATTGTGCGTGCTTGCTCTGTTCTCCCTTCTTCTCCTAACTCCGTCCGTAGTGTGTGGGTACGGACAATACCGGTACGTGGTCTGCACGGCTAGTGGGTGCTCGGCAACACTAGCGCGTGCTCGACGAGACCGTCAAGTGCTCCTCTCGCCTGAGCCGGTGCACGACAAGATCGGCTAGAGTGGTTCACTGACGTGAGCCGGTGATCCTGTGAGACCAAGGGAGGTCTGGAGGTCATCTCGGTGGTCTGGAGGCCATCTCGGTGGTCTGGAGGCTATCTGTAGTGGTCTGGAGGCCATCTCGGTGGTCGGGAGGCTAACTGTGGGCCAACAAGTGGTATCAGAGCCGTACAAGCGCCGTCATCATTCTAACCGATGGCGATGACATGCAGTTCGGAGTTGGGCGACGGCAGTGGCACTGTCGTGGTTGCCCAGCCACTACCGGATGTAGTTGTTTGCACGGTGTGGGAGGTCAGCGGCACCACTTGGCCGACGCTGACTCGCACTATGGAGAGTGATCGGTGACCATGAAGGTCAAGCTCAGAGCCCGACGGCTCTGGAATGCTGTTGACAAGGGCACCGACGTGGAAGAAGACGACATGTCGAAGATTGAGGCTATCCTCGGCTGCTGTCATCGGGCGTGAGTACTGAGGAACCGCTGGGGATGAAAGACTCACTAAGGAGGCGTGGGAGGCCATTGCGGCGATGCGCGTCGGTTCCGACCGTGCAAAGAAGGCGACGGCCCAGCTTCTGAAGCAGGAGTACGCAAACCTCAAGTTCAAGGATGGTGAAACAGTGGAGGACTTTTCCTCCGCTCAGATGCTCATCGCCAGTCAAGAGCCAAAACCACGCACGTCACCATTGACAAAGAGGAGGCGGTCTCCAAGTTCCTCCACTCCGTCTTAAGAAAGTACATCCAGATCGCTCTCTCCATAGAGACGATGCTGGACTTGTCCACCCTCACCATTGAGGATGTGGCAGGCCATCTGCGGGTGGTGGACGAGCGCCTGGGGCAGGCGACAACAACGAAGGACAGTGGGAAACTCCTGCTGGCGGAAGAGGAGTGGGCTGCTCGGCGAAACTCCAGGAAGGCAGCCTCCTCCAGTCGCGGTGGCAAGGGCAAGCATCGAGACAGGGCTTCTTTGGAGAAGAAGCACATCGACTTCAACGCCTGTCAGTGTTGCGGGAAGATGGGCCATTGGGCACGGGAGTGCCCAAATCACAAGAAGGAGAAGAAGGCTCAGGCTCACCTGGCGAAAGCCGATGATGAGGATGAGGCCACTATCCTTATGGCGACGTTCTGTGCACTGCACGACGTTGAGGCCATGAAGAGGGAAAAGGCGACGATGGTGGAAGGACCTAGGAAGGCCCTGAAGATCGTCAACCTCGATGATCCACGCGCCCAAGTTCACCTCAGGAATGTGGGCGTCGACCAGGAGCAGCGGTGGTATCTGGACTCTGGTGCCAGTAACCACATGACGGGCTCCAAGGACTCCTTCTCCAAGCTCGACGGCGATGTTACCGGTACGGTGAAGTTTGGTGACGGCTCAAGGGTGGCTATCCAAGGGCGCGGCACCATCATCTTCAGATGCCAGAACGGGGAGCACCGCGCGCTAACGGATGTATACTACATCCCACAGCTGCGCTTCAACATCATCAGCATTGGCCAGCTGGATGAGCGTGGTAGCGAGGTTCTGATCAAGGACGGCGTTCTGAGGATCAGAGACCGGGAGCAACGACTTCTCGCCAAGGTGAAGAGGTCCCTGAACCGGTTGTACCTGCTCGACCTAAAGGTAGAGCAGCCGGTTTGCCTGGCAGCAAGGTACTCCGAGGAACCGTGGATGTGGCATGCCCGGTTCGGACATCTTAGCTTTGACGTGCTTGGTCGGCTGGGGAAGATGGTCTGAGGGCTACCCCACATCAAACACGGAGGCGAGCTGTGTGATAGCTGCCTGGCCGGGAAGCAGAGGAGGCTACCTTTCCCAAAGGCGGCCAAGTATCGCGCGAAGGAAGCTCTCGAGCTAGTTCACGGCGACCTTTGCGGGCCGATCACGCCTGCTACATGCGGTGGTCGGCGGTACTTTCTCCTACTCATGGATGATTGCAGTCGCTACATGTGGCTGTAACTCCTAACGAGCAAGGACGAAGCGGCGGTGGCGATCAAGAAGTTCAAGACGCGCGCGGAGGCCGAGAGTAGCAAGAAGCTCCGCGTACTGAGGACTGATCGGGGTGGTGAATTCACTTCGGTGGAGTTTGCTACGTACTGCGCGGATCAGGGTGTGGGACAACATCACACTGCACCGTACTCGCCACAACAGAATGGCGTGGTGGAGCGACGGAACCAGACAGTGGTCGGCATGGCCCGATCCATGATGAAGGCCAAAGGGATGCCGGCAAAGTTCTAGGGAGAGGTGGTGACCACGGTGGTGTTCATCCTCAACCGCGCTCCAACCAAGGCCCTAACAGGCAAGACGCCGTTCGAAGCTTGGTACGGGAGCAAGCCGAACGTGTCATTCCTCCCGGACATTCGGTTGCATCGGCCACGTCAGAAGACGGCCAAACCTCACTAAGCCGGGAGGATGTGAGCACACCCATGGTGTTCCCCGGCTACGTGGAGGGTACCAAGGCGTCACCGACTCTATGACCCACGCAGAGACAAGGTGACTGTCTCGCGCGACGTTGTGTTCAACGAGGAGGCGGCTTGGAACTGGAACAGTCCGAGCACGGGGGAAGCAGGAGGCTTCCCCAACACCTTCGTCGTCGAGCACTTGGTCATCCACGGTGGTGGAGACGCTGCGGAACAGGTGCCACGCACTCCGGGAGGAGCGCCGAGCACTCCGGCGGTAGAGTCGAGCACTTCTGGGGCAGTGCCAAGCACTTCAGGAGGGATGCCGAGCACTCTGGGAGGAGTGTCGAGCACTTTTGGAGGGATGCCGAGCACACCAGGAGTGGAGCCAGGAGGTTCTACAGTGGTGGCGACCACTTTAGGATGGGTGCCGAGCACTCCCGTGGCGGAACCAAGACGTCTTACTGTGGTCCCAACCACTCCAAGACTGAGGCTAGGCACTCCTACAGTGTGGCCGAACACTGCAGGAGTTATGACGAAAGCCCGATCGAAGCGCGATCTTGAGCACTTCAAAATCACGGGCACTCCGGCGGAAGAAGGAACTCCATCACTCCCGATCGAGTTCGCCTCACCTCCAAGTGACATCACTAAGTTCGTGGACGCCTACCACGAAGGTGAGGAGTTGAGGTTCCACAGGCTGGACGACATCGTCGGTGGCACAGGTCCCTCAGGTCTGGCGGGTAGGCTGCTCAACGACGCAGAGCTGCTACTCGTTAGTGCAGAGGAACCACCCACGTTCGCGCTAGCCGAGCGCGATGGAAATCGGGCGATGGGCGATCTTGGAGGAGATGAAGGCGATCGAGGAAAATGAGACTTGGCAGCTCATCGATCCACCTCCGTGATGCCGTCCGATCAGCTGAAGTGGGTGTACAAAGTCAAAGGGACGAGCTCAGCGCCATTGTCAAGCATTAAGGCGCCGCCTCGTCGCCGAGGCTTTGTCCAACAGCGAGGGCATCGACTTCGAGGAGGTCTTTGCGCCAAGATGCGCCAGATGGAGTCGGTCCGCTTTGCTACTTGCTTTGGCGGCAAAGAAGGATCCGGCGCGTCCATCACTTGGACGTTAAATCGGCCTTCCTCAACGGCGAGCTAGCGGAAACGGTCTTCGTCAGGCAACCTCCAGGGTTCACTGTCAAGGGAGAGGAGCACAGGGTGCTCCGACTGCGCAAAGCGCTCTACGGGCTACGGCAAGCCCCTCAAGCATGGAACGCCAAGCTTGACACCACGCTGGTCGAGCTTGGGTTTTAGAGGTGCGCAACCGAGCACACGCTCTACACGCGACGACGGGGGAAGGAAGAGCTCGTGGTCGGCGTGTATGTGGATGACTTAATCATCACCGGCGCGAGCACGGAGGATATCAACAGCTTCAAGCGAGAGATGGCAGCTCGTTTCCGAATGAGCGATCTCGGCGCTCTCTCCTACTACCTCGGCATTGAGGTGAGACAGGGGAAGGAGAAACTCACGCTCGGGCAAAGCGCGTATGCCTCCAAGCTGTTGGAGAGGAGCGGCATGGTGGAGTGCAAGCCATGCGTGACTCCGATGGAGGAGCGGCTGAAGCTGACAAAGGCTAGCACTGCGGCGAAGGTGGATGCAACACTCTACCGAAGCATCATCGGCAGTCTGCGCTATCTAGTCCACACGAGGCCGGACATTGCGTTCGCCGTGGGCTACGTCAGTCGCTTCATGGAGGATCCCAGAGAGGATCACTGGGCTACGGTGAAGCGGCTACTACGCTAAGTCAAGGGGATGGTGAATCATGAAATCATCTTCCAAAGACCGGCGGGAGTAGGCTGCATCTCACGGTATTCAGCGATGCAGACATGGCGGGGGACATCGACGGACGACAGAACACCTCCGGCGTGCTTTCGTCTTCCTCGGGTCAGCCCCAATTTCATGGTCGTCGCCGAAAGAAAGATGGTGGCGCTATCTACGTGCGCGGCGATAGCACGCAGCGACCACACAATGGCGTGCCAAGTTGTGTGGCTAGCTACGCCGGGCTTGCCGGGTGAGTGACCGGCGTGGAAGCTCACCCACCAAAGACCGATGGTGGACAACCAGCCCGCCATCGCCCTCGCGAAGAATCCGGTTTCGACGACGGAGTAAACACATCGACGTAAAGTTCCACTTCCTTAGGGACTGTGTTGATGGAGGGTAAATCGTCATCGAGTTCGTCGAAACTGCTCGGCAGCTCGCGGACGTCCTCACTAAGCCGCTCAGACGACTTCGACTCACGGAGCTGAAGGAGATGATCGGCATGGAGGGGTACAAGGGTTACCAGTAGGATTAGGGAAAGATTGTTAGCTAATCTCATCGCCACCTTGTGTGAACACAAACAGAGGAAGGCGGCGCCCGACGACTTAGCCGCCTTCTGTGTGTGAACACAAGAAGAAGGAAAAGCGGCGCCGACTTTGCCCCCTATTTGTGATACAAGAGTGGCAGCTGCAGTGTAGGCGCCGCACGGCTCACCTGCAGATCAGAGGAACAGTGCGGTGGCTGCAGAGTCAGCCTGTCAAGTTATCTAGTTATCGTGTGCGGCAAAGATGGGCGCCGCACATGGACTAGATAGTTAGAGTTGTATAAATAGACATGTATGGCAACTCAGTAAAGAGAGCTCAGATTTGTCATCACACAGACAGGGCCTTGGCCAACGCTGTTGTCTTGTATTGTGCGTGCTTGCTCTGTTTTCCCTTCTTCTCCCAACTCCGTCCGTAGTGTGTGGGTACGGACAATGCCGGTACGTGGTCTGCATGGCTAGTGGGTGCTCGGCAACACTAGCGCGTGCTTGGCGAGACCGTCAAGTGCTCCTCTCGCCTGAGCCGGTGCATGGCAAGATCGGCTAGAGTGGTTTACTGACGTGAGTCGGTGATCCTGTGAGACCAAGGGTGGTCTGGAGGCCATCTCGGTGGTCTGGAGGCTATCTGTAGTGGTCTGAAGGCCATCTTGGTGGTCGGGAGGCTAACTGTGGGCCAACAATGTTGTCACCTTGGCTGAAGATGGCTAGGTACAGCAAGCAGGTCTTGTGCTCTCTAGACAGATCTCTGTAGGAAAACTTGAATATCTTCTTTGCATTAATGGCCAATGTGTTTTCTGGACTTGCAGGATCCTGCACCTGCAGGCACTCAGATAGCCTCGCTAGTTCTTTCTTGCTCCTATTGGCATTAGCATACAAAGCACCAGCGAACATCTTCATGCAGAATTCATGTGGATGGCACTTGTCCAAGATGTCGCGGAAAATCTGGGTGCTGTTGTCATCTTCGTTGTTCACCCAATGTTGTGTGAGCTTGAGTACAATATCATGGTAGAGTCCAACAAGAGAATATGTTATTGGCTCTGTGGGTGGGTAGCAAAACTCTTTGGCCTTCTGGCTGTCCCTCGTAGTCACTATCATTGCACTGCCCTTGGCGCACTTCAATAGCTTCACCGCATTCATTATATCCTCCCACTTGGGTCCACGTCTTCTATTCTCATCGTGCAGGATAATAAGCAGATTATCTTTATCATCTAAAAGCTCATTGATTTGATCCACTATCCATTTGATCATCATCTGCTGCTTAATCTTGAGCTCCATTTCTGGAATCTTATCCTTGGTATATTGGATGGCACTGGCGATTTGATCTTCACCAGGTTTTTGTTCTCCTGGGACACGGGACTTGGTAGACTGTGTGACTGCTAAAACGTCTTCTTTAATCACACAGATGATGATTTCTTTGATCTGATCCTGATTTCTTTGGTCTGCTGGTCACCCAATGTAGCAGGAGCAGGATTACTAGCACTGGTCAGGAACAGCTCCAGCAGAATCTGTTCGTATTGGCTGTCGCGCAGGTTCACGCCTTCACTTTTCATATACTTTGCCAGCTTCATAGCTGTTTTCTTTATAATCTTTTGCTCATCCGATTCTAGTACGTCCTTGGTTTCCGGCTCATTCCTTTCCTCTTTACATAGCACTAGCAGTGCCAAGGGTCTTGCCGTGTTTGTCACACTTAGTTGTTCAACAATATTGTTTACCCCTTGTGTTGCTCCATTGTTGTTGGCCTTGGCCCCCACTGTTTGTTGAGTCACGTTGTTGCTCCCTCCTTTTTCATCAACATTCTTGTCTCCCCCTTGTGTTTCTTCATCCTTGATGTTCCCCTCTGTTCCTCCTGTCACGTGCCCCCCTCCTGTCTTCTCATTGATCTTGCTCTCCATATCTTTAATCTTGTTTTCGAGCTCTTTAATCTTGCTGTCGAAATTGGCTTTGAATTCCTCTGTGACCGTGATCTGATTCCCCCCTTCTGTAGCCTCATTCTTGTTGCTCCCAACTATTTTCATTTTAACACTGACCTTGCTCTCCATATCTTCAATCTTGTTTTTGAGTTCTTTAATTTTTCCTTCAACTCTGCGTTCAAATTGCTGCCTGATTCTTCTTTTCTCCTTCCTTCCATTGCTCCAAACATCGAATCGACTAGTAACCTTTTCTTCCATCCACTTCTTATCATCGTTGTGTTGCTTCTGAAGTCTGCATACACGCAGGATGAAGAGAAGAACCTTGTTGGGTCCTAGCTTATCTGATGGGTAGTGTACTGAAGGGAGGTTGATCCACACCGTGCGCTTAAATTGTGCGCTCGCTTTCTCCAAACCTTCACTTACAGTGATGTAGTCTGTATCTTCTGGTACTACAATGGCGATGGAACGCATTGGTCCCGCGTTGGTCCTTAGTCTCGCCACCCAGTTGCATATCTTCTCTATGAAGTAGTTATCCAGATTGGGAGGCTCCAGAGCTAGATGGTGGTAGTAAGAATAATGGTCGGCCACTGCTCCTGCCTGATGCTTGACATCTTCATCCTCATCATCGTCTTCTGCAGCCGCTGGAAGTGCAGCAGCAGCTTGAGACGAGGACGAGGATGATCGCATCAATGTCGACGACGACGTGGCGCCACCACCAGGGGTAGCTGGCTTCCCTGGGATCTCCACGCCGTACCTCAACCGGCGCTTGCCAACGTCGCCAGCCCGCTCCATGAGCTCACGCAGCCGGGTGGCTGCTATGTTCTTGGCGATCAACTCCTGCACGAACCAGTAAGCCCACCAAAAGTGGCCTTTGAAACCACCCCTGGCACGGTGGATTGCCAGATCACCGCGTAGTAGGTAATGGTCGATGCAGTTGCTGCAGTCGTGGGCGAGCTGCCGAACCTGGTTCATCCACGTCTGCACTTGCTCGTCATGTGAGCCGCCGGGAGGCGCTGTCCTGGCTAGGTGCTCTAGGAAGCTGTTCATGCTCTCCATCTCCTCCTTGATGAACTCCACGTCGTTACCGACGCGTCTCAGCAGCTGGGCCTCAGCCCAGAGGACGCCCAGCAATGAGCTGACGGCTCCAGCCGCCAGCTCTGCCATGGCTACAACACAGGGCGGTGGCTTCTGCCACCGCCGCCGTGGTCTCGCTGGACAGTAGAGAACTAGAGACACCTAGTCCTCCTTAGCTTAGCGTTGTAGTTGGGCCGACAAGAAACGGCCGATGACAGCCTCCCTGATGGTGCAATGGATTACTCATCCATTGGGTTAGTTTTGGTCTATGGTTGATTTGCTATAGGTCTGTTCTCTTCAACACCGTACCAGTGCTAGTTAGGAACCCAGCTCTATTTCTTGAAGAAATGCATGGCCAGAGGTATGCCCTGGCTTGCTAGTCTCTAATCTGCTCTTTTCTTCTGGGCAAGGCAACCAGATGCCAGATGGACGTTCTATTCCACTGAGGATTCTTCAAGGTATTGCCAGTGATCGACTTTATCCTTTGCTTGCTTTCCTTCCCTGTTCTTCGCATCTTTTCACGCATTGGACAAACCACAAATGAAGGAAGGCATGGAATAAAGTAAGGGGAGTAAAACCTGCCATTCCTCTTTAGATAAAAGGTAACTATAGTTGGATGAGCATTTTTTTCGTCCTTATTATGTCCCTATAGGCAGTTAGGCGCTACTACCTCCACTCCAAATTATATGTCCTCTTTGGATGGCTTTTGAGACAGCCCAAAACATCTTATAGTTAGGAAAGGAGGGAGTATTATCTAAGCCATCTATTGGTCTAGATGCAATGGTTGGAAACAAAATGGTTTCTACCACAATCGAAAATTGTTAAACATCTACAAGGTTTGAATCGCACATCTTGGTACCCCTCCAGGTCAAAGGGGGTATGAAATGCTGAACCTATGGAACAAACAGATCGTCAGGGAGGATGCACACAATTGTCATCTTTATCAATCAAATTATCGCGGACATGCAGACTCACACTCCTATCTTTTGTTTTCTAATCTTGAATGCCATGGTCATGCCTCTCCCCTATTTTTTTTTACCATCAAGAAAGCCAAACAAACTTTTGCCCCCCATTCCGCGGACAAAATAGAGCTACGCTAATTTTGATGCATAACAAGGTACAGCGGAAGGGAGCTTTGATTTATTCCCTCTCTTTAACTTTATCTTTTCCTTTATCCCTGCTAAAGGCTTGCATCAGACGGGCCCAAGATTTGAAGAATGTGTATTCAGAATTTCAAAGTAAAAAAGACTTGATTGGTTCAACCCTATTTTTCAACATGAATAATAATTGATCAACCTTTGAATACAATTAATTAGCAAAAATAATTGGTATTCAATGAAAACGCTTGAATACCCCTTGGCCCGCCCTTGTAATAAAAAGGGCATGCATGAAAAATCAAAATTTTAATATTACTAATTAGTGTCTCCAATTCTCCCTAGGTGTGACAAAAAAAATAATTCCAGTAAATTCTCACAATAATTAGAAACGTATGGCATTTAATTTGGATACCTGCTCTTCTAATTATCTGTGCACACCAGTGATCGGGATATATGGAATGGGCTATGGTGGTGGCGCAATAGAGAGAGGACCAAAAATATAATTGACATTGTTAAGAATTCTGAAATTTAGAGGCTCCTCATACATTACTTCTGGTGCATCTTTCCTAGAATGCAGATTTATAGCGAGGAAAACCTCATACCTCCATCCCTATACTAAGTGTCGTACCTTTCCCAAATTTACAGGGAGGAATCTATGCGAAACCACCTTTTCTCTCTTCCGAGAATTTCTAAAGGAAAGGAGAATCGTTTCGCTGAAAACCCGTTTGGCATCATTTCCAGCAATTCTAGTAAAATTGAAATTGATTCAGTCATCCAAACACACCCTGAATTGACAGAGTTGACTAGTAGTCACTGTGAAATTGCTAATGATTAGACTATGAGAGTAGTGACTTCAAAAATATGCTTGTCATGCCTGCTTGTCCTGTTCCTTCGGAGTTGGCTATTAGCATGGGTGGGAGGATTATTGACCCACTTCGGTTCAACTTATCAACTAGCATGAAGCCTTAATTTGAACATAAAGCTGGCTACATACATCTCGTATCAAAGTAAGTGCAAGAGAGGCCGCCAAAGACGTTCAAACATATGAGGATATTATTAGAGAATAGTTTCTCTCTAAGGATAACACTGATCGCGAAAATCACATTGGTATGTCGCTTTTCCTTCACATCTGATCTTGGTTTTATTCATTGCCAAACTTCTGATTACTATTTAGGTGATCAAAACCATATAAAATTGGTGTGATCAAAACCATATAAAATTAGGTGATCTTGGACGATCCCTTTGTGGAACTTAGATTTTAATTTATATGTTTCGAGTAGTGGTGTAATAACTTCTGATTCTTTCATCTTGATCTTGATATTTTGCAATGACATCAGTTTTAGGCTGCTCCATGATAGACACGCCCCTAATTGAATGTTTTATGTTTGTGTGAGAGCATGAATTTTTATGCCAGTGTAGTTGCACAACAAAAGTTTACTTCTTGAAATATTAAGTTTTAGCGATATCCGTGATAAAAGATGACTTTGAACTCCAACATCCTTCATGGTATTTACTATCTTATTAATTGGCACCATCTTCTCAGTAGTAGTACACTCTGAATATGCATATTAGTCTGTGAACATCCCATAAACTTGTTTTGAAATTCTATTATGAACAAACTTATGTATTTTATCTTTTTTTTTGGCAGATTTAGCTGAAGTTCGGAAAAATCATTGTGCTGCTAGTCCAAAAGTTACTGATGTCTTTGGAGTTCCTTCATGTTTTGATTAGTTGATTTACTATTTAGGGAGAAATCATTTTTTTGATCTAGAGTATGAAAGTATATTTTAGACATAATATTAAAAGAAGTTTTTCTAGGAGCACTACAGTAAGATGGCTGGACAATCTGAGATCTAGTAATCGGATACATTTGGTAGTCATGGCATGTCAATACTCAATACTCAATATATATGTTCTACGTGCTCTTTAAAAAAAAAATTATGTTCTACGTCCTGTCAGTTTCAGTATGTTGTGAGCCGGCCATAACGATAACGAACTGTATTTTTATTTGAAGCCAAAAATATTTTATTAGCACAATGCCAGCAACATATAATTTATTAGCCGGCCATAACGTTGTTACTTTTTTTAACTACAAATGAGTAGTATTTTTGTGCCCTTGTCACGATTCCAAAGAAATTACATGTATACAAAAGGACAGTTGTACGTTACAGAGCCAGAGAATTCCTTTTGTTTGAGCTATCAACCCGTGTTAACCATTCAAACCGGATAACCAACCCAACCTAATAAACTAATCAAAACCATAGCAATCCGACGAAAATCAGCCTGCACCGCACTGATCTTGGGTTGTTTTGCAAGCGCTGGGCCACCAGAGTCCGTCACATCCGGATGCGGCTCATCCTCCTCTACTCATCTGCTCTCTCTCAGAAAAAATATATCCACCGTTCTTATCTGCTCATCCATCCGTTTCGTGTGAGTGCGTGGACGCACATCCATCCACCCCACGCCGCCTTCCACCACCGCACGCTCATGGGCTATCGCGCCATGCCCTTCCCGCCACCACCCCGTGCCCCATCGCCGGCTGCGCTGCACCAAGTCCTATTCACCTGCGTTGCTCGCTCCCTCGCCATCCATTCGTCCCCATCGACGCTCGCACTGCTAACCCCGCCATGGCTGCTAGGGCGCATGTGCCGTGGCACCTTAGGTCCTCCTCGGCCGAGCCAAGGGCACCCACTAGCACGGCCAGTGCTGGTGGTGTCACACGTTGTGGCTCGTTGCTGGCTCCCACGCTGACGTCCGGAATCGATCGACCCCGGCCTTCCCCTCCCCTATATTGCATATGTATGTTTCAAGTATTTCTAACATTTCAGATGTATGTTGTAATTGTTTCATCTTGATGTTGCAAAAGTAGATCCAGGATGTTGCACGTGTTGCAAGTGTTTCAGAGGCATGTTGGAAGCATTTGTTCGACGTTTCATTTGTTTTCAGACGTATGTTGCAATCGTTTTTATCTGAATGTTGCATATGTTTCACACATATGTTGCATCAGTATGTTCCAAATGTTTTAGCTGTTTCAGTCTTACGTTGTAGCAAGTGGTTTCATGTGCAAGTTGCAAGTGTTTCATTTGTAACACCCTAAAATTTGCAAGATTTTAAAATAGGTAAATTTGATTTAATTTGGTATTTTGTGAGCATTTAAACCTAGAAGAAAAACTTTGTTAAAATTAAAATAAAATATAAGGTTTAGCAACTTATTTGTGCAAACATGCTGGTGCATTGGAATTATTGGAATGTGTGGCCTTGTCTAAAATTCAAAATGATTCAAATGGATTCAAAAAACATTTGAAAAAAAAAGAAAACATAACTCTCCCTCTCTCCCCTCTCCCTGCTGGAAGCCCATCCCGCGCAGCCCAGCAAGGCCGGCCGGCCCTCTCCTGCTCTTCCGCTCTCCCCTCTCCTCATCAGAGCCGCGGCCCAGCACCAGCTTTCCTCTCGCGTGGCCCACCTTCTCCGCCGGCCTAGTTCCCCGCTTCTTCGCTTCGCTCCCTCTCCGCAGCCCAGTTTCACTTGGGCCCAGCCAGCTGCATCGCCGCATTCCCCTCTCTCCGCGCCCTGTGTCACTGTTAGCCCGATCCCACACGTAAGTGACGCCGCCTTCTTCTTCCTCGCGCAGCAGCCTCCCCGGACTCTATCTGCCGTGAGAGTCCGACGTCGTCCCGCGCCGCGCCTTGCCGTGCACCACGTCTTCCCGCCCCATAAAAGCCAAACCCAAGCACCCGCCGCCTCCATCCAGCTCCATCCGCGGCCGCCCCGTGCCCTAGCTACCGAGCCAGCACCGCAAAACTCTAGCGCCACCGTCGCTGTCGCCCCGCCGAGCCGCCCGCCAACCTCGTTCCGTTCCCGCATTTGATTTTGTTCATGGTGAATTCGCCATCTCCTTCTCCTTCTCCCCGTGCTTTCGGTTTGCTCTCCCGTGGCCTCTAGGGTCGATTACAAGCGCGCCAGCGAGGTGTCTCACCACCGGCCATGTCCACC